ATTTAATTTTGCATTGTCTTAAAAGGTAGCAACTTTATTAAAGTAAAATAAATTACTAAGCCAAAAAAATGTTTTCCTAAGAAAAATATCCAGACATTGAATTAGACTATAAATGTGTATATGCTGTTTCTTGCAGCCTCTTTCTAATGATTTATAAGATTCCTTTGGAGAGAGAAATCTCTTCACTGGCCAACTCCTGGAGAAATCGTATCACTTTAAAGCTCCCAGAAGATGATTTCAGCAGGAAACCATGAAAATCAATTATTATCGTTACTGTAGAAATTCTTCAGAATTATGACAAGAGCTTTGAAAGCAAATGCTTTACTTCCAGTAATCTCATAAAAAATACGACAGTCAAGACTTATGAAGTGCTATGGACATTCACTTTTACAAGTGCTTTACATATATGAACAAGGTTCTCACGGAAAGCCAAGTAGGCAGGCACTCATCGCCAGGAAGCAGGCCTTTAGAGGTGGCTTCCATGACTGGTAATGGTGATCTGAACTATGAGGACCAGCAGTCAGCTTCAGAGTCTCAACTTCAGCCTTGAAAGTCCTACTGCATCCCCTGCAAAAGCTAGTTCAATGGTACCAATAGTGTATTCTCTGAAAAACGGGGGAAATTGAATGTTCGATAGTTGAATTCTTGGATTACTGATGGAGACAGAGTAGTGCTAGAAGTTATAGTGTGGTTCTTTTCCTGGTGCGATCAGTGCCGAGATGACTTTTTGTTTCTTCTTTGGAACCAATTATACAGCCTCCTCTAACTGGTTTTATTTACTGATTTTAGAGATTGAAAGGAAGGAGGGTGGGGGAGAGAGAGGAACATTGACTTGTCCTGCTTATCTATGCATTCATTGGCTGCTTCTTGTATGTACCCTGGCTGGGGATAGAACTTGCAACCTTGGCGTACAGGGACGACACTCTAACCAGGGCCTAAAAGGAAATTCCTTTGATTCTGCAGGAATTTATGAGTACCTACTCTGTGCCAAGTACTTAATCTAATCATTGGAGATAGTACAACAAACAAGACTTAGTCCTTGAACTCTGTATCTATGAGTGTTTCTGTTTTGTTTGTAAGCTTATTTTACTCAATAGATTCCACATATAAGTGAAATCATGTGATAGTTGTCTTTCTCTGCCTGGCTTCTCTGGCTTAGCTTAATACCTTCCAGGTCCCTCCATGCTGTCGCAAAAGGTAAGACATCCTTCTCTTACAGCCAAGTGGCATTCCATTGCGTAAATCTACCACAGCTTTTTATCCACTCATCTTGAAAATCCCTTTCTGTTCAAACCCAATCAATAACAGAGACCAAACTTTAATAATATTATTTTGCTATTCAAAAGTGAGTCAACTACTATTAAGAGCCTGAAAAGGAAAGTCCAAATTGCATTTTGAGCTTTCGTTTCTCTGCCTTTCTACTTCCTGATCCCTATAATTCAATTGACGCTTTCTTGCAGGTACACCAAATAAAAGACTCTCCTAACTTGATCTAGAAGGCTAGTAGCTGGATTTGACACAGCATATGTTGTAGCATACTATTGGTTACTGAGTACACACAGAGGCTTGAGACAGCTGGCCATGGCCACGCTTTTGGCTTGGAGTTGCGCCCTGAACTTCCACAGTTGAAATGAATCCATGATTTTCTGGCTGCCTGATCCACTACCCATGTGGCAAGAGAGCCAAAGTGGTAAACCAGTTTCACCAAGGCTTAGATGTACCCCAAATGTTTACCTTGTACACTGATCCATATACTCTTCTATTTGAAGGTGGCTGCTCCTTTGTGATAATAATGAATTATCTCTTTTGAGATGGGGTCTATTAACATCTATTGGTATATATTCCTCCTCAAAATACATTTTTGAATAAAGTCCAGGATAGGCATGTTTGATTACTTAAGAGAGCTAAGTCAGCTTTCTTAAGGGGCTTCCCAAGAAATGATGTTTCTAAGGGCTCATCACATTCTTGGCTGACTTCTTGACATTCAAGTTCATGCCTGTCACTTCATACCAAAGCTAAAGGTAAGGTAGAAATTCTATGGTTAGATGTGTAGGGGCCACTGACTAGCCCATGAAGCCTTAGGAAGATAGTTTATGGCTCAGGACTAGGTTTAAATGAAAAGAAACTTCATTCCTAAATGGGCAACATCCTGGAATCCGTTTTTTGTTTCCTTGCAAGCATTTAAAGCAAGTATCACATAAAAATCATGAAAGACTAAGATAAAAATTGCAATTGTTTGAAAATCAAGCTTTTTTTTTCACATTCAGAAGAATTCTGACATCTCTAGCTTCAATTTAGAGCTGAGATGTGTGGGGTCAACCGTTTGAACTTTCCATTGTTTCTTTAAGAGGCACCATTAAAAGGATGGGTTGGCTCCCATAAAATATGGGCAAAGCAGCTGTTGAAATCAGATGCAGCCAATATTTATCTGGATGATAAATTCATGTCAAGAATTCCAATTTACTGTACATCTATGGACTTATGATACCCACCATTAATCACACTCTTACTGAGAGAGCCCATTATCATCTGTACATAGCTGCCGATAAAGCAAAAACAAGGGTAAAATACAAAGAGGTTGCTATGTTGAAGGCTGCTGATTCCAAAGATGAGTGACACATGTTGGGTAGGATAAATCTACAAATAGCCTGGATCAGACATCAGGCATTATTTGAAATGAAGAACTTCACACTAACTAAAAGATAAAAAGAAAAAGATCATAGCTGGAGACAGACAGTGGTCCTAAAAGTTATACAACAGCATGATTCATTTCCAGGAGAAATCAATGTCAAGATGACTTTTTTCCTCCGTCAGAAAGAATAATGAGCCTCCTATAATTAGGTAAACTTTCTCTGTCCTATCACAACAAACCATTAAGCCACAGTGAGGCCACTGACACATCTAGCCCTCAACCAAAGCTATAGTATTTTAATCTAAGTACAATGCAAAGATGCATGAGTCAATCTACCGTAAATTTTCAGCAAATAGTATGTGTCATTGGAAATAACTTCTGCTTTTCCAAAGACCGTAGATTTATTCTGTAGGAGTTTTAGAAACAAGCAACAACAATTTTAGCTAAAGCAATTCCCTGCGCTCACTAAACCATAACTGTCTGAAACTAGTTATTTCTAGAATTACACAGAACCAAAATAGCAAACATGTAAACAGAGAGCTATGGGTTAGAATTCATCAAATGAGGGGCGGGGGGAACGTTTTCAATCTTAAGGTATAAAATATCACATCTGTTAACTATTTATAGATGCCCAATTTTAATGCACAATTCAAGCACTAATTAAAAAAGGTTCTCCATAAATAGAAACCAATTTGCTGTGTGTGCAGAGTGAATTATACAATCAACTTCCCCTAGCTATCTGTTTTCTCTTCAGATGCTGGGTCAAAATGTAATTGACCTTTGGACTTCTCATTAAAACTCAGCAATAGAGGCTGGAAAAATGAAGTTGACTCTATTCATGCCATCAAATAGGATTATAAGCATATCTAATCCCACTGTCTTAGCTTTCTCTATTGTCAACGGGTTGCTAGGCTGTGGTCTCAACCAACTGGGGGAAAAAGCAGGGTTGAACTGCTTGGCCATGATGCATTTTGTCGATTCCACACATACAGGCAGTCTTAAGTTTGCCACTGAGCTAATAAAAATGTGAGACAAGCAAGTGATATCTCTCCCAGCCAGGACACTGGGATGGAGAGATGGACTTTCATTGTTCCAACCTTCTGTTGTTAGATTGTATTAATGCCTCAGGCAAATTCCAGGAGGAGAAATTCTTTGTAGTGCTCGTTTCCCTTACCTTCTGAAATTTCTGTGGAAATACTTGTATCACTGAGAACTTGGGACTAATTGGTGGGGGGAAAGGAAGGCAATACATTTTCCTGGGAAGAAATAAAATTATGGAAATGTATTAACAAGTCTATAGAAGTCAAAAATTGGAGCTGGAAAGAAGCAGAGATAGTCCCATTCAATCTCTTTAATTTATAGATGACAGAAATGATAAAACGCAGAGATAAAGAACAACTAACCTCAGGTCACACTTTGCTAAGACATGAATTAGGGTCTCAACTACGCGTTCAGTTTTTTCAGCCACAGCATAGCTTTACTTGTTCATGTACTTTCATTTTGTTGGTTAAAAACCAACAAAAATAAAAACAGAAGTAAAATTCTCATTGAAGACATCTTGCAAAGCCACACATACGTGCTTGGGTCTTTCTGGCAAGGGTTAGCTCTACTGTGGCCATTGCATGTGGTCTTGCTTATTTTCAAGTACAAAGTATTCCCTGCCCCCTTTTTGTAATCCCAAACTCTTAGGATAGTTTTTGTATATTTCCTTACAAGAAGTCAAATTTTAGAATGTATCTTCAGGTTCTTTGCAAATGAAATATGGATCTTTACATTGAACATGACACTTGTGCTTTAATTAGGGTGACCATATAAGTTATCTCCCAAACCATACATTTGTGAAAGCGGATGGGGGTGCTATTGATTATTACAACAGGCAACAGGTGCAGACCTGGCCTATTATTGGCAAACTAGGACATGTGATGTCCCTAGTTTTAGTGTTTTCAACATCCGTAACAGGAAAAATTCCCCTGTACACTCAGGTATTTGTTTCTATTTTTTAGTTTTCTTGATTTTTTTTTTTTTTTTTAAGGCAGCATTAGATAGTGGAAAGGTAAAAAGGAATAGACAGGGAAAGATCTGGTGGTCAAAGTTCTACCTCTAACTGGGAGACCTTTAGCAAATCACTGCCCTCTTTTGGACTCAGTATTTGCATCTATTAAAGGATGGGGTTGGATTAAGTCACCATTAAGTTTTCTTCTAGCCATAATGGTCTAGAACTTCTATGCTCTCCAAATTCCCACTCAACATGTGTATCATGTATCCATATGTGTATATAAAAGAGAGGTCAATTATGAAAAAACAGAAAGTTTCAATAAATAAGAAAATAACCAGATTTTCAGCCCAAAAATATTCTGTTGGTAGTTACCTTTGAGAGGAAAGTAAAATTGGCCCTGGCCGGTGTGCTCAGTTGGTTGGGCATTATCTGGTGCACCAAAGGTTGCCGGTTCGATTCCTGGTCAGGGCACATGCCCAGACGTGCAGTAGGCATGCAATCACATCGATGTTTCTCTCTCTCTTTCCCTCTCCTTCCTTCTGTCTCTAAAATTCAATAAAAAAAAAAATCTTCTTTAAAAAAGTAGAATTGTTTACCTATATTGAAAGTCACACCAGACACAATGTTATAGCAACTTGGTAGCTCAGGGACAGACAGGAAATGTGTTTTTATGGGTGTTTTTGGCAAAACTCTACAGCTTAGGATACCGGTGGTTTTTTTGTTACAACAGAGTCTTTTATGTGGCACAGTCACATTAGACGCTGTCTGGTTGCTCTTGGTTACGAAGGCTTTTTCCTATTTGACTCACCTGCAATTTTTAGGCAAATTCTTTGGCTTCCTGCTATTGTTTCTGGGCGTCTGCAAGACCTTGCAATTGTTATGTGTCTTCTGAAAGGAAAGACTGGGTGGTAGGAAAGTGTTACGTGGCCCATGTCACTTAAAAGGTGTGAATTATTAAAAACATAAAACTGGTTGGGTAAGAAACACAAACAGAATTTATCAAAAATTCTAGATCTTTATCTAGTTTAATAAAGCTCCCCTTTTAACTGATAAGCGATAAGGCTTATCTGCTTTCTGCATATGTTACAGGCACAATTTGGGGCAGTTCTGTCTTTTCATATTGCTTGTCTGAAATCTAACATTTCACGAGTTTCTCAAGTCATCTTGCTGAGCCAGAGAGACAAATACAAACATGAATTTTTCTCTCTGTTATGACTCTTTAGAGTAAACTTTAGGCTCAAGATTGCTTCTTCATTTGATTACTGTGATGCATTCCTAGCCAAACTGCAGTATGAGGAATAGTTAATAAATAGAGTTTATTGAGCTAAGAGCTTGCTAATGCACTAGCATTTTATATGCAGAGTCTCAACCAATCCTCAAGATGATCCATTACACAGATGAAGGAAATGAGGCTCAGAAAGGTCAATTACTCAAAGTTTGCACAGCTAGTAGGTAGCAAAGTCACAATCCAAACCCAAATACAGTTGACTCTTGAACAACATGAGAGTTAAGGATGCTGACACTTGTGCAGTCAAAAAATCCACGTATAACTTTTGACTCCCCCAAACTTAACTACAGCTGGCCTTTTGCATCCGGAAATGCAACCAACCGTGAACACACTATTTTCATATTCCCAACCATAGTTTCTGGCACTGGTTGAACCTGCAGATGTGAAACCAGAGGACAAGAAGCACCATTTATTGGGGGTGGGGTGGGGAAGAGCCTTCAAGTGAACTGGTGCAGTTGAAACCTGTTTTGTTCAAGGGCCAACTGTATATGTGAAAGCCAACACCTGTGCCCATAACAATTGCAGCGTTATCTCAGAGTATATCCTGGGGTACCAACTCTCTTCACATTTGCACAAGACTCTGACTGGCATATCCATTTAGCATATTTGGCACTCATGATGTTCCATGAGGGCAGCCAAAAGGGCGTATGCTAGGTTCATGTTACAGATGGTAAATCCACGCTCAGGCAGGACGACCCAGTGTCCCAAAGCCAGCAAGTAAGTAGTGGTGCCAGCGACTGAACCTGTGTCTTTGGGCTGCTCCCTACTGCAAATTCCTGAAAACCAGAGTTATTTTTTTCAAAACAAAACAAAACAAAAAAATGAAGTAAAACCAGAAAAAAATTGAAAGCATAATTAGTCAGTTATAAATAAACAGGGAACAGTTGCCATACTAATTACAAATACTGGAGGCCGGAGGTACCATTTAACAAATCCTTTCTCCCCCTCTTGCCTGTTTCACATCCCAACAATGTCTGGCAAATTTGAATTTGTGACAACCTTGATATATCTTTAGTCTGGAATAATACATTGGATTAATATAACCCAAACCTCTATGACTCCCTCTGTCTTCCATGCACCATGTTATATTGACTAGTCTGGTTTCCCTACCAAATTTCTTACAGGGCTTCCCATAGAATGGGTGCCCACTAAAACTTTGTTAAATAAAAACAGAAGGTATTTTAGCTAAGACATGCAATAATAAGATTTATTGAGTTCTTAGTTTTTAATATATGCCAGGAATTCTTGTAAGTACTTTAGGTATATTAAAATATTTAATCCTAACAGCTATCTTATTTTACCCCAATCTCATGGGTACCAAACATGAGGCACAAAGAATTCAGGTAGTCTGCTGGAGTAATATTATAGCAAGAGACAAGGTTTGAACTTAGTGCACTTAGTGCACTTTAGAAAAACTAAGATTTTAAAGTTAAGACTTAAGGATTCTGTTAAGCAGTATTCTTTCAGACACTGATCCATTTTATAAAAATATTAAAAGTATATCAACAGTATTTTGCTCCTAAATTGATGTATTGGGTGAAGTATGTAAAAAAGACCTTCAGGTTTTCCTACCAGAATTAAATAGTACTCAATCTTTGGAGATCAGAGCAGGAAAAAATGCTGCTGTAACAGATTGTCTGCTGAGGATATGACAGCAAGAGCCAGCATTAGGCAGTAAGTAACAACACGGGCCTTGGAGCAGGTAAAACTAGGCTTGAGATCCAGGACCATCTCTGTCTGGGGCCAATTTCCCCAGAGTCAGCCCCTAGACAAAGATTTTAGTGTCCCTGGGGCATGGTGCCAAACTAAACGTGAAGCTTCACCCAGGTTATGTCCAGGCACACAAACTATGATCTTCTATGTTTGGGACTCATTTAGTGTTACTTACTCTCCATTTACCCTGTTCTTTTTTTCTGGGGGACTGTCCTCTTTATTTACTTTATTTTATTTTTAAGATTTTTTATTGATTTTTTAAAGAGAGAGGAAAGGAGAGGGAGAGAGAGAGAAACATCAATCAGCTGGCTCCTATACGCCCCCTATGGAGACTGAGCCCTCTCTGGGCATGTGTCCTGACCTGGATTGAACAGCAACCTTTCGGTGCACAGGATGACACCAAACCAACTGAGCCACACCAGCCGTGGTGTGACTGTCCTTTTTAGACTGTGTCACACTGTCATTTGCCCTGTGGCTTCCAGGTTTGAGCTTGCCAAATAGGGGAGCAGCACCAGTTGAAGATCAGAAAGTGGGGAGAGAGAGAAGTCAAAGTATTCCCTTCGCAGTCACCCTGCAGGGCCAGAATTTGACAGACAGCGGTCCTTCCCTGTTAAAAAGAGAATATGGCGCAGATGAGGCTGTTGATGTCAGCAGGGACCAAGGAACTGGTCTATACTTGTCACAGACTGTGACCCTGAGACTTTAGGAACAGAATTTGGTGATATAATTTAATGCTGTTAGTCAAATGGTTGTTGTTATATATTTAATCATTTATATTGTAATTCTATGTATAATAGTTATTAAGCAGTCACGTACAATTGCAAAGAACTTAAAGAAAGCTAATGTGATTGAAGATGAGAGAGAGAGAGAAGCATTAGAGGGGCTGGTGAAATAGCAGGGCCAGACAAGGCAGGGTTTGAGAAATGAGCTCTACAATCAGGGGTGTGGGCTGATTAGCTCATGAATAAAATATTAATGACTGATCTACAAGACAAGATTTCACAAATGAGTGAGTGAGAAAGAGAGGTAGACAGGTGTTACATTACCATTCAGACACCAACACCCACTGATTCACACACATTGCTAAAACAAGGTTATATACCACCTTGCATAGGAAAAGGAAGGGTGACTATAACATAAACTCCTGTGGTATTTTAATTGGTTGTTTCTTTAGTTCAAGTAGTACTAAGATGAAATTTCCTCATCCCACGGATAAGAAAATTTAAAGGAAGGTTGATTCCCAGTACACCCTGTCTCTAAAATGACAAGAAGCTCCTAAATCACCTATTTAAATCCCCTGGTCCATTCTCTAACCAGAGCAGTTTTTGACATCCTTAAGGGGAAGGTGATAGAGGAAGCAAAGGTAATATTTTCTCAAGTGTAGTGTCGGGGAATTTACTGTGTATGCGAACCTATTACATTCTCCCAGCAACCTCAGAGAGGTTGAACAGTGCTCAAGGTTATCTAGCCAGAAAGGGCAGAACTGTGATGTGAGCCCAGGCTGTTCTCATATCAAAGCCCTAGTTTATTCTGTCTCACCATGTTGATTTTCATGCTCTCTCTTCAGTATCAGAAGAGTGAGAACCCACTTTCTTGCTGCATCTCCGAAGTTAAAGGATGTGTCAAGAAGAGCCTAGAAAAGGGAAAAAGAATGTTAATCTCCTATATAAATTCCACCTCTACTTGTTGAGTTTGTATTATGTGCAGATTCCAAGATAGGGTCCAAACCCTCAGGCAGCTAGACAAACAAGTTGTTATAGTTAATACAGTCATTTAAAAAATACAATTCAATGTGACCATTGCTTTTATAGAATGAGTGTTTACTGGAGGTACAGAGAAAATTTCCAAGAATAATAATCTAGATTTACATGAACAAAAGAAAATAAGTCTCCCTCAAGAACTTTCATACAATATATAGATGCCTGAGATGATCAATTTAGGGTTTAGACAATCTTGGGGACTGAGGATTTATAGTACAGCATGGTGACTATAGTTAATAATACTATGTTGTATACTTAAAATTTGCCAAGAGAGCAGGTCTTAAGTAATCTCTCACACACACACACACACACACAGACACAGAGACACTCACTCACTCACACGAAAAAACATCAAAAAACAGGTAACTATAGGAGTGGCGGCTGTGTTAATTAACTTGACTGTGGCAACCATACCGCAAATCATCACACTGTACAATTAAATATATAAAATTAAATTTTTAATGAATAAAGTTGGAGTTTTAAAAAACTTTGGAGACTGCAGGAATGGAAACCTCCCATCACCTAGAATGCCATTTACACATCTGTAACTCTTCTAATCACTATATAGGAGAACCCATTGGAAAAGCAGAGCTAACTATGGCTTCATCTCTAGGGCTCATCTCTCATAAAGGCATTAGAGCCTAGCTATTTTCCAGAAGGAAATCCCCACCACCAGTGCTGAATAATTCATTAACAATGAAGAAATTGTCTTAACTAACAATATAGAACGTCAAGTTCAGAAATAAGAACCATTTCTTTCTGGCATTTATTTACTCATGCATTTATTAAACAATTAGTGAGGTGCTTCATCTGTGTCGGGCACTATTCTGGGTTCTGCTGAAACTGTGATGAATAAGCTAGATATGGACCTTCCTCTCAGACAAATTGTAAAATAGCATAATTAAGAAAATGAACAAGATAATGTCTGACCAAAAAAAAATTACAGACTTTGCTCCTAGGTATGTGTAAAAATTGTATGGCTTCTTATCAGGTTTGCGATGGGTAATTCTTGAATTCAGTGATGACAGAAATAATGCCTGCACTAAGGTGACTTGAGATTTTTGCCCCTTGGAGGCGCCTCGTCACCCTTTCAACCCTCCTCTTCGCCTTGGGAAGCTGAGCAGGGTGGGCCCCATCGGAGGGCATGTGCTCTGGCTTCTGCTTGGCTAAGCCAGTGGGAAGCCCAACAACACTGGACTCCTGTGATCCCCTGGCCTTCAGCTGGAGGTTACCGCTCCTCTCCATGACCCCTGAGGTCCCATAGGTGCCCCCCCTCCAGGGCGACTCACGGGTGGCAGCACCCAGCGCTGGGGCCGGCCCGGGTCAGTGCAGGGCCCCACGGGCTCCCCTGTGTGCACCTGCACCTCGCAAGCAGTCCTGCAAACGGCTCTTTCTCCAACTGTCCGGTTCTGCGGTGTCTTCTGCTCCCTGCTGGGACCCTGGCTAAGACAACACCTTTGCTGTATCCCAAGTTTCTGTCCTTCGCTTATTTATTTTGCTGTTGATTGAAACCATCCTCAACCAGGGGGTAGAGGAGGGCTCACAGATAGAGATGATTTAATACCTGCCTAAAATAAGCCTTCTGAAATACTTAGAGGGAACTTAATATATCTGTCAAAACCTAAAATTCACTTACCTCTTTTCTCAGAATTCCATGCAATAAATTTACCCTGTTCATCACAGCAATATTTACAATAACAAAATACAGAAATCACTGGTTAGATACACTACAGTTCTTCCAAACAACAGAATGATTTGCTGATGTTAAAAGGATATAGTAGACTCTATGTAATATTGAAAGTCTCTAAGATATGTTAAATGAGAAATCAAAGTACTCGATAGTATGTTATATAGCTATTTGTGTAATGAACAGCATACATGTGAGTGGGTCTATATATAAATATATATTTGGGGGTTTTTAATTAACACTTGGAAAAATTTTTGAAAGGGAAACCTTTGGGAAAAGATGCTAGGGAAAAGAGATTGTTATTTCACATTCTTTTAGCTTTCTGCATCTATTTTATTTTTTTAAAAAACCATGTGCTTAAATTAATTTTTTTAAAAATGTAACAATATAAAGAAGCAATCTCAACCCCTTATTTGCTTAGCTTAATAGAGGAGTTCTGATTTCCACAATTGTAGTCATTCAGAGGAAATAAAATAATTCCCTAAAACAAATTTATAAGGAGCAACACCAGTACATTAAAAGATGTCATGTGTAAAACCTGAAATGGAAACATTTTACTCCACTTATTTCACATGAAAATCTATTGAAACTGACTTCAAAGGCTGAGCCACATGTCCTGACAGCCACCCAGGGCCTGTTAGCAAAACCTCTGCTTGTTTCCTCTCTTATTATTTCTGCAATACAATTATAACTGGAAGTCCCCAAACCGTGTAATTGTCAACTAACTTTTGGAAAATGCAAATGGTTGACCAGGAATTTAAAAGGAAGGCCCCTCCTACCCCTCTGAACTTTGTGGTGGTCTTTGGGTGCCAAATGACCTAGCTCAGGCAATCCTCAAAGATGAACCAAAGAAGAAAATAATTTTCAGGAAGGGTTTCTCTGTGGGCAGCAAAGATCTCTGAGAAGGAATCTATATAGTATTATTTCCTTTTCCCAGAATTTATTGGCACCCACCCATTTTCCACCGGAAATTAACATCCTCATGTATACAGATAGGTCTGATAGCTGAGCTCAGCTGGGTCAGCCCATTTTTGTACAAAGTATATTAATATTCTGTCCATGCTTCAGGCACTCATTAATCCATCACAGTTTCATATCTTTTCTGCCTGTTCCTGCTTTTCACAAATAATAACAGCCAACCCTAGATAGAAGATATTCCGGCGTGTACACAAAATACTAGCTAATGCAATACAAAGCCATTCCAAGCTCAAATTGCCTTCTAGAAGAATTCCTATGGAAGGCATTGTAATTCCTGATGAAACTTACATGCATGTAAGCTTACCGCATTAATTATTTTCCATTCTGTTTGCTTATTGGTGCAGCATCTGTTGCTGTTGTTACTCATGTTTGCTGTAAAGGGGCTAAACATGCAAGACAGGCAAAAATGTCTTGTGGATGTCTTGCCCAATGGACAGGGAGCACTGTGCTATTAGTATTACTTCTGGTCACTCAGATTACTAATCTTTGCTATTTTAAAAAATGTGATTAGTTCTCACCTATTAAACTTCAGCCAGGCACCGGACTAAGTGGTTTATATATATTATTGTATTTCAACTTCATGACAACCTGTGAAATAAAGATTTTGATTCCCATTTTACAGATGAGAAATGGAGGTGTAGGAATATTACCTGGGGCCAGACAGCTAATAAGCAACAGAGCCAGTGTTTTGACTTCAATGTTTTTCTGTTTGTTTTTTAATCCTTACCTGAGGACATGCTTATTGATTTTAGAGAGAGGGGAAGGAAAAGATAGAAAGAGAGAGAAACATCTACCAGTTGCTTCCCATACACACCCTAACGGGGATCAAACCCAAAACCTTTCGGTGTACACGGGACAACGCTCCAACCAGCTGAGCCTGAGCCACACCAGCCAGGGAATGACTTCAATGTTTGTGTCTTTTCTTCTAAACCCCAAGGGTAGGACTAACATCACATCACAGAGCTTTAAATGACAAAAGGGTTCACTTTTATAAATCTCCAATTAAGGAAATTACCAAAAGCCCCAATAACTTGTTTGTACCCAAATGAGGCAGCAATTATAAAAGACCAATGTTAGAAACTGCTGATAACTCCAGCCCTCACTTTTCTGTCCCCACCTGCAGCTTGAAAAGACCCTTTCTGTGGTTTTCCTGGAAATCTTCATGTTCTCCAAATCTTTACTCAGAAGAGCTGTTACTCTACCAGATTTGGGCAGCGAGATAAAAGAGAGATGACAAAATTCAAGAGAACACTTCACAGAAAGTCCCTTTCTGAATTGTTTTAAAACAGACAGAGACCAAGAAGACCTTAGTTTACGGACGACAAGATTTTCCTCTTCCGGAGAAACTCACTGCTCCTCATAACAAGAAAAGAGCAACGATCCAAATAATTCCTCAGGCTGAGAATAAAGGCACAGCCAGGACAAGGCCTTTATTAAATGGATGAATTACGCCAATGATAAAATTTACTGGGCAACGGTCTTTCTTCCTTCCAGCGACATGCCTGTCCTCTCAGTATACAGTGTAGATTAGTCACCATACCCCTGAGCTCAGAGTCACTGCCAGAACCAACATCCCATTATGCAGTCAAAAGCCATAGAATGTCAATGCTCGAAGGGGCTACCCCCCCATCTCTAATTTCAACTTTTCCAATCTCTCCCTTCCCCTTCCATACCTCAATTTATATTTTTACATATAAAAATGGTGACATGACTGTTGCCCTGCCAATAAATAGCTAAATAAGGGCTCGAAGCCAGGTTTCTAAATTCCTAATCCTCTGTTCTTTCCCCCAACAAAGGGAAGACTTCGCTTTGAATCCTGGCTAACTTCTTAACAGAGTGATAAAACTCTCTAAGCCTCAAATTGCCCCATCTGTGAAATGGGAAGAATAATGGTACTTGCCTCAGAGGTTTGTTGAAAGGCTTAAATGAAATGATGCCGGTGAAGAGCTTAACATAATGTTTGATACACAACGTCAATTTAATATCAATTATTATTATTATTATCATTATTAATTCAATGCTTTCCAAATCAAAGTCTTATTCTCTAAGATGTGACACATCTGGGCTTTAAAAATTCCATTTGTCCTCATGAATGTGCAATTTCCATTGCAAGTTAATTAAGGTCAAGATAGATCATAGAAATCTGTCTGTAATTATTCCTCCTTTTCAATCTTCTTCGAATTAACTTCATCATAATCAGAAGAAAGG